GGTTCCCAAATGCCACGGTAGAGGACAGAATTTACTTAATCAAAAGAACTTCCAGCCGGGAAGTCAGCAGCTTTATCGAGCACCAGCCTAACAGTGTTAGATCTCACTATGATGTTCTTTGTCAGGCCCTGATAGAGGAATTTTCTAATCATTTGGCGCAAACGGGCTTAATTGCAGCTCTAGCAGTTAAACAACATAGACAAGAGTCACCCCAACAATACTACAGCCGCCTTCGGCTAGTTTATTTTGGTTCGCGAAACGAACCATGGATGGAGGAGGACCTAAACCTTAAAACACTGTTTGTCCAAAACCTCCACCCCACCAGAGTTTCTATCTCGGGATTGCGGCTTGTCCACAAACAGTGTTAGATCTCACTATGATGTTCTTTGTCAGGCCCTGATAGAGGAATTTTCTAATCATTTGGTGCAAACGGGCTTAATTGCAGCTCTAGCAGTTAAACAACATAGACAAGAGTCACCCCAACAATACTACAGCCGCCTTCAGCTAGTTTATTTTGGTTCGCGAAACGAACCAGGGATTGCGGCTTGTCCACAAACGTTATCCAGTAGACAATTGCGTGATTTAGCCCTAAGAGGGTTCGCAAAGCATCTACAGGCCTCAAGCAAACGGACAGAGACCCCAGAGGTCCTCAGTCTTGATACTCAGGGTTCATGCTCAGCCCTTTCACAGAGGCCCCTAAGGGTCAGGAGCTCTCGCGACCCCAACGTTCCAATTATGGTCGTTACCGCTCCCGCCCGCTATGGGCTGACAAAAACCAAAACCGCTTAGACTTCGCGTCACATCCAGTTCTGCCCAGATATCAAAACCAGGTTCCCCCAAATGAAAGGTTAAAACCACAGACCTGGAAGAGAGGCAAGGACAATAGACGTCCCTACCAAACAGTACACCCATGGGGTGAACGTAAATGCAGTCCACCTTGCCACAACTCTGAGGGTGCGGGACGGCTAACCCACCGGTACCTGTGTAAGAGCAGTAGCCTGGAGGGTAAATCTAACACACTGAAACTTAGTCTAAAGGACTTAAGATTTCTTGAACAGGTGGATCATAGAAGGAGAGAGCACAGTCACACCAAAGGGTTGTAACTTTGTTTGTTAGTGGCCGCATAAATCAAAACCTTCATAGAATTTGCACAGGAATCCGTCTAATTCATTGTTGTAGCTCTCCACTCCTGCTTATAGGCCGTTTTACAGCCTACGCACTGCACCATTTAAGATAAATGAGCCCGTGACTTGAAATTTTCTGTTTCAAATAAACTTTAGTATGGATTGCACCATAACCATGTACATCTTTCTCACCATGATAACCTGTCTGAACAACCCTAATTGTTGGCTTATTGACCTCTTGTGCTATGTCATTGTTGTACTAGGGCCGAGTTTAGCAATTACTCTGAAAGTGTAATGTATAGGTCCGTGTTCGGATATGAGGTCCTCAGTACCGCCTTAAACAAACGTATATGCTGTGTGTATTCCTTTCCTTAGTACTCTAGATACACCATGCTCACACCCAACTTGTAAAGATGCTCCTGGCTGATATGTTACAGGGAGCCAGGTCCTCAATGGAGAGCCTACCCATGGGAAAGCTCCCCATTTATCTAGTCTTATCTCTTGGTACAGAATGTTCTCGTCGCCCAGTGACTGCTACACAAACAAATCATTGGCCACTGTTGATGTTTAAACTTGCCATCAAGGATGCTTTGTCAACCTATAACTAACAAATGACCACACCAACCTAGTCATGTTCAATCAGTGACATACAGGCTTACCCCCATTAGACCTATAGAATGGCGTCCACCTGACTGTATAATTGTTGGTGTCCACTAACAATTATACAGTCAGGTGGACGCCATTCTATAGGTCTAATGGCCATTCTATAGGTCTAACCAGCGGTCTGAAGTTCCTGGTAATGACCTTCAAACCGTGGGGGGGGAGATGTAACGAACAATGGCCGGAATTTCAAGTCTAGCTGAGTGTTTACCCAAAGTTAAGGGCCTTCGGGCTCCAGCAAGACTGGTTGGAGGTGTAAATCTGTCAAGCTCAACCCCAGACTCAGTCAGATTTACAGCTGAATTCACCCAGCAGAAAAACAGGACACTTCCTCTGGAATGTGGCAGATGCCTCTCCAAAGTACTGTGGACCACTTTTTATCTTAAGTAACAGAAAGTACATTTCTAAGGTGTTTGTCCACTCCAAACTGCAACCATTCGTTAGAACTCTTTTTAACTAAACTAGACATACCAAAACGGAATTTGTACGACTTTGGATGGCAAAATTACAACTTTCTAAATTCCCTAGGGATCTCAAGCATGGACCCACAGCACCCCCAAGGGGTGCAAACGAGAATTACCACGCCACCACCTAAGGACTGTTACTCACAAAGGACTCCAGGAAAACTTATTGATATGCATGTCTGACTATCAATCTTATCTAATTCACAAGTGTTGATGCTTGTATTTATATACTCAGTTACATAGTGTGTATTCATCCCTTCTTTTACCAGACATCAGGAATGTGTGGGATAACTGTCTGAAAGTAACCGAAATAACAATTTCAAGTAGTGATTTTAGAACACTAAGTATGCACCTGGGTTTTCTTTTCACTTGTTTTATTTAGCCTTCTATTTTTTTTTACTCTTCTCGTTTACTTGATTTAGTCATTTGAAGTAATGATTTAACTGTGTTGAAAGTTCCTGCAATGAAAAGACACCCAAGGATTATCTATAAGATTGTTTCTGCCTTTGCCATAGTTGTTCTCAGATAATGTGGGTAGAAACTGCATGTAGATACCTAAATGTTAGGTTTGTAGGTTATAGATTTTAGTAACCTAATTGATCTGAAAACTGTTTTGTTTAATCGAATTAAACTTTTAAACCTAGAAGGAACAAAGGAGGGAGTTCCCTGGTAGGGTGCACAGAGAAACCCCCACCAATCAGGACCAAGAATTAGGAATAGCTAATTACTCGTTAGGTGAGAGCGAACCTATCAACACCTGGGTTCCACCCCTGAAGGGTAGGGCCTCCAGCTGAACAAAACCAGAGTGCACCGCAAAATTTAGGGAGTTCCTGCGTTCGCAACAAAAGTTTCTAAGTTTGTGCCGGCCTAGGTCAGAAAGACAGGTCAGAAGTATTAGGACGCTAAATTATCAGATCTGAAACCTTGTTTGTTTTGTAACTTGCCTGTTCGCCTACACACCTTAAGTTTGAACCACCCTCAGAGAAGGAAGGTGGATATTTCTTGTCTGGCCCGGAAGGATATATCCATAACTTTCTATTCTGCTAAAGAGAGGTAGTTAGTTAAATTGGTACCACCAGCCTCAGGACCCTGATTGCAACCTGAATCTCGCCAGCGGAGTGGGAGCGGTTCGGACACCACGGAGACCCAGCATCGCACCCAGAGCCACGCACTGATCTGTGAACAGATCGACCCTCGAAAGGCCGCCCAAGCTCCACCGTCAGACGGCCACGAGACGCCTCCGCCCAATCACTGACGGAAAGGCGCGTGCCCGCACGGAGATGCAGCATCCACAGCCAGCTAGGAGAGGAACCACCGCGTGAGCTCCAGCCTTTGATCGAGTCTGTCCTGAGACGACCCCGCCTGAAATCAGCCCCCGACTCCAATGTAATAGCACGTACTCAAGCTATTTTGTCTTTCATTACTATCACTTTGTTTTGTTTTGTTTTCTTGTTTTATTTTCTATTGTTTATCATTGAATGTAGTCCAAAAGTAGTTTGATATTTAGCCAATAAATTTCCTTTTCTGAAGCATCCTTGGTGTGAGCGTTTCTCTCTCTTGCCCTGGTCTGTAGACTTCAAATAAATCCGGGTTACCTCACACCCTCACATAAGGTTCCAGCAATAATAATAATAAAAATTGCAAAACCCGTTACATGTGCAACATGATTACTACAAACATACGCTTGGCTCTGACAGTTACAAATTCTGAGTGTTTTATTGCGTTTTTATGTCTGGGTTTAAAAGTGAGGGGAAATATTCATACATTTGTTTTTCTTCTTCAACACACATTATGTATTTTATGTACTTTTACATGTACATAAAAAATAGGTATTCAAAAGCATAAACAATGATAAGTAAAACTCCCCAAAGTTACAAAGGCCCCCTCTGTCAAAATTTCAAAATTCTCAATACATTTTCAATAGTATTTAAGTTAGTGAGATTGGCAAACACCTTCAACTTTTTAAAAACCAGCTGTGTTATTTTGGCTGTATGGGGTTGTTGTTGAAATGTTCACCTTCTCACCTTTCTTAGTCAGTGTGAGTTTATATTGTCTATTTATGTTATCTACTACTGTAGCATTTATATGTGATTGTATGATTACATTGTAGTTTAACATTATGTTTTGCAAGCTGTTTACCTCTCTCATTACAATCTTTAGCCATCTTTTGCCTCATATTCAGTGTTAGCCCACTGTTTATATGCAGTGGAGAATTGTCCGTTTGTATTGCTTAAATCATTCTAATGTATTTGTTTTGCATACAGTAGTATGAGAAGTATTAATAAAGGGGTATATTTTATATTTGTCATTTCAGTTTTCACAAGATAAAAGAGAAAACATTTGAAGCTCATGTTGCTCATGACATACAAGTAATGAACACCAAACTTTACTTTGGTGCTTGTCCTAATTCAAGCCTTTAAGATCTCACTGTTTAGCTATGTGTCCATTTGTTCAAAGCACACATGGAGGGGAGAGAATATATATTATAAAACTAATTGTACTGACAAGGATGTTTATTTATGTTATCTATTTAGGAATTTTAGGAAGCTCTTAACCTTCAACATGATTACTACTTGTTGCATAAAATCTCCCCAGCCTGCAGCAACCAGCTCAAAATATTCCAGGCCAGGAATTCTCGAAACCTTCACAATTACAAATTCCAGCATTTTTAAGGAGACACAAAAAGGGACAAATACAATTTTCTCTAATCACTGGGAGCTCATTAGGATTGCCTCAAGTAGAATACTTTACATCATTTACCCTTTTTAGTCATTCTTTTAGCAGTGAGTCTCTGATCGATCTCCTCATAGATTGCCTCAGTCAGAGTCTTATGCCTCCTCTTAGAGAGCACTGTGAGGGAGACAGAGAGAAACATGGAGCCAGTTCAGTAGAAGAGAAGACTGATGACAGACTGAAGGACTAATGATGTTTAGAGAATGTACAGAAAGTGGATTGTAGATGATCTCTGAATCTCTCTACCTCTCCTGAGCACTCTGTTCTGGTAAAACAGCACAACCAGAAGCACTAAAGCCAGGAAGAGCAGCACTCCCAGAACCAGGAGAGACGCTGGATAGATGGATGGAACAGCTGGTGACGGAGTTTGTGGAGGAGTAACTGCTTTGCTCTCTGTCTGACCAACTGGTAATGAAAATACAGAAGAGAAACTTTTCATTATATTTATATTATATTATAACATATTTCGAAAAAAAAAAGAAAAATCACAGAATTGAATAAACAACAGTACCTGTGATGGTAATGGTAGTTACTCTGGATGTAACAGTAGGGGATACAGATAAGTCTGTTATAAATAAATAAAAAACACACAAAAAAAATGAGATAAGACTTGGAACAAATATTTATAGGCAAATTCACTTCCTATAATTTAGAGACAGAGAGACAGAGAGCTTCAAAGTATTCATGTGAAGAGTAATGTTGAGTATCGACTGATACAGATCTGATATTTTTTTCTTTCATAACTAAAATGCAATAAGAGGTTGGTACACCATGGAGGCACGTAAATTTACGTGATATAGTGATACCTATTATGGTACTCTGATGCAGGTTTAAGGTTACAAGAAACTTGGAACCTTAAACCTGCATGTTGCATTGGGTTGTGGCAGTAGAGATAGAGGGAATAATGGGCACTGCCAGCTAACTAGGGTACCTGCCATTAGTGTATTTAAAATTAGGATTGATTACAGAACTTGAATATTTTCTTTCTTTTTGCTTTTTAAAGATTTTTGAGAATGAGTCTTCAAGTACAGGCTAATTACTAAGCATGCAAGTTTCTGCACTGGCCAACCCAGGTTTAGTTATATTACAAAAAAAAAAAGAAAACACTGTCTGCATCTTCTGACCTTTTTGGCCTTTTATTTGTCCGTTTCCATTATCGGTCTGTCTATGTTAAAGGGGAATTTTGAAAAATTCCTGTATAAGTCAGTTCTTGAGATGTGAACAGAGTCATTCAGGGTGGTGTGAAATAGTTAATTGTAGTGAAATTTACAGACTTCTTTATAGTGGTGGGAACAGGAGCAAGGGGTCACAATGTTACCATCCAAAACCACCAGTGAACTTACACATGTCTTCTGAGTTTTTATATGCACTGTTGATGGTGGTAAATTAATCATAAGTCTAAAAATATACATTTTTATGGGGACTGTTTTGCCTCACAATGCATTGCATGAAGCCCTCTGCCATGAATGGATTTAAAAATTGATTAAAATACATTTAAGCAAAATTGTATAACAAAACTATTATAAACAATGTTTTAGACTTCAGGCAGCATATATGTAATCGTTTCTTGTAATGACTTTGTGAGGGAGCTTTTAGAGGCACTAAACTCTTCAGATGTCTGATTCCTATCACCATCACTTTAAACAATTCTGACTCAGCAAGTTTCGCTAGATAAGGCATTTACACCAAACCACTCTGAATGACTTTGTTTACATCTTAAACATTTAATTATGTACATTTAAAAAAATATTTTAAAAGATAATTGGAGTTATCCCTGTAATCTGTCTATGAACACTTAGGTTGGGGTGGCACAGGAAGGAGACTGTGTTTATTGTTGAGTCCTTTTTGTTTTTATTTTTTTGTTTTGGTATCTTTGTTTAATCTTTTGTCTAGGGGTGACTGGGTTGGTCTGGGGATGGGTAAGGCTAAAAAAACTACATCACTGCCTGTGGTATATCACACTGTGCTAACACATCTTTGAAGAAGTGAAAAGATGGGAAAAAACAACCATAATTTAAAGTGAGCTGTTTTAATATTAAAAGGAAATCACTTCCTTTAAGATGATCATCTAAAAGTAGGCTACAATGCTGAAACCATTCAAACTACTGTCCTACAAGAAGAAATACACAGCTAACAACATTACATCACACAATAAGAGTATTTCAGAATAGATGTGTTACACGACTGAATCAGATTCATAATTTTTTCCCTCTGATATCCCAGACACAATTTTCTGATGATATCAGTCTGATACTCATTGATACTGATATGCCATCTCTAGTTTGGACTGAAGAATTTTAAGTGTAAGCTCTCCCAAACATAGCCAAACATAGAGAGCACTTATGAAAGCAGCAACAACCTACAGCTAGAACTACGGCCGTACACACAACTAGAACTACAGCAATACAGACAGCTAGAACTACAGAGATTCACAAAGCAAGAAACACACACACCTACAACTATAGTCATACTCACAGCCAGAACCACTGCTGCCATACATACAGCTAGAACTACTACTGCCATTTACTGCCACATACTGTCATTTTTCAGTTTTTGACATGAACAACTTGAAAATGCCTGTTGCCCTTTATATTGTGTGTAAAGTTCATGAAGAATGGACCAAAAGAATCGGCACAAAACGACTTGGAAAAAAGTCTAGTTCTATTGACTTACACTGGAAGTAAAGTAGATTTTTTCCTTTTCCTGTAAAGTTACCATTTTGGAGATACAAGGTTTTCTTCTGGCAACAGCGATATATACATATACTGCTGTGTATTTATATGTACACTGCTTTTACCACCAGATCCTCCACCACAACTTAACGCTTTCATATTTCATCCTATTGCTTTAATAGAACTGACCAGTCTTATAAACAAACTCCAAAAATATTCTACCTTTATGGCCCTGATCTAGCCTTTTGAGAATATCTATAGAACACTCCAAACTGACCTGGATCATGAAGTTAAAGGCTCCTGGTATCTCTTTTTTCTTTGTTTTTAACCTAGTATCTATTTTTTTATGATACCACAGCAGGTTACATAAGGACTATGCAGCATCATGATGGTAGAATTCTAACCTCGGTGTGGCATATCATTGTTATAAACACAGCAAAACACAATAATAGAAAAATTATTCGCACATTAACAAGAGTACAGGTAAACATAAACCCAACAACCAATGCAACATTTCTCTGTAAGTATGCATCCCCGTTTGACAAGAACACCTAGAATTAGATGCAACTTTTTTGGCTGTGGAAATTAGCATCGTCTACTCTGCTGAAGTATGAGATCTCCTGTTTAGTAGAGGCTCGGGCCTTCCTAGTGGCTTAGGCCCCTGGGCACACATCCATAATACCCACAGAATTATCTAGGCCTAACTCTACATTTCCTTAACATCAAACTAATAACAAAAAATATTACCAAGTACACTTACATAAACTTAACTTGTATTACACATTGATTTATATTTACCTCTGTCATTTTATCTGGCCTAGAACTTTCAAAAGCTGTTTACATATTGTGCAGAAATGCTTTGTTAGAATGGTCACTTCAGCTAATTATTATGTAAGGTCTTGCCCACACTTTCAAAACCTTCAATTCATCTAAGTGTATGAAATTAACCACTTTCAAATATATGTCAGTTTATATATATTTTCTTCCTTTGGCCTCCTTCCTGACTGCTTTAAAAACAGCTATCAGCAAATTTTTCAAGGTTAACATTTTCCAGGGGGTCTTTTAATAACCTCCATGGAGATGTTAGGACAGTTTGCACTAGAGTTGCCCAGTCGTAGTCCTAGAGATTTGCCACCATGTAGAGTTTAGCTCCAACTCCAATTTATCACAACTGATCTAGGCAATGAAGGCTTTCAGTGCTATCTGACTATTAGATGCTCCAGGTATGTTGACCATGAACTCTGCAGGGAGGCAGAGCTCCAGGACCAGGACTGAGCATCCCTGGTTTACACTCTTTCATCGTGGACTTTCAGTGTGGAGCTGCCTAATACCTCATCTGAAAACTGCAACGTTCTTCAAAAATAGGTGTAAACTCATCTGATTTTACAAACCTATTGTGTTTGTAATACCTGTGTATTTACAGCAATACATGCAACCAGTGTTACAGATTGACTGCAGTTTGTGTAAATACACAAGTGTATCCACTACACTGTTTACTCATATAATTACACAAGGTTTATAGTTTATAGTTGTAACAGTACAGTTTCTATGATGTAAATACACATGCAAATGGGGCAAACTACTGTTTTCCCGCTGTTTTGTATCAGCAATTGTGTAATTAGCTATACTGTGAGAGTACTTACACTCTCATAGTAATGTAACTAAACAAGAACACATGACAATAGTAACATTATTGTTGCATGCATTGTTAATGAGTAACTAAACTACATAGTAAGTATGTGTTAAATATGCTTAATATGTGCTTAATACTGTAAAACACCTACTACTGTGTTTTTGTTTTATGTTTGTTTTTAACTAATTTAATTAATTAACTTCTTTTTGAACAAGGCCTTTCTAGACTCTTCAACATTCTCTACACATTATTTTCTGGTCATAAAGTCGGTTGAATGTTGTTCTTGTTATGTTATTCTTTACCTTTATGGTCCATAACTATAAAATAAATACAAATGATAAAAATGATAAAAATAATTGCAGTTAACTTAAATAAAAAAACTCCAGGAGAAAAATATTGATTCGATCAATAATACTGAAATTTACCAGACTCCTCTGACCTGCACAGGTGACTCCAGCGTCCTGCCTGTGGGAGCAGTCAGTGTGGTTCTTCAGGGAATGAGGACAGTCCCACAGGTGAATCTCATTCCCTCTACACTTCACTCTGTTCAGCCAGATAGGCCCTTCACCAGCACCAAAGACAGCACTCCCATCAGCACCCAGCGCCGGCCCACAGCCCAGCTGCCTGCAGACCACCTGAGCATCCCTGATGTCCCACAGATCATCACAGATGGATCCCCACACAGCATTATGATACACCTCCAGCCTCCCAGAGCAGCTTCCCTTTCCTTCCTTCAGCCTGAGAGGCAGGTGATCTACATCACACACATCACACATGAGGAGATACAGAAACTCACAGAAATGATTAATTACTGTTTTTTTAAAACTCAGAACAATATATAGTATGGTACAATTAAGTAGTATGTATTGCTACAGTGGGAAACATATTTGGGGTCAACAATCACAAAACTGAAGCTTAGTTGAGGTTGAAAAATTGTTAAGAATGCACAGTCATATCTATAAATATTTAGATGTTAGCAATGTTAATGTTATTTTAGCTGACTACCACAGCATATTGGAGCTGAAATAAATGATGAAATAATTTATTTGATAGACTTTGAGTTTTCATTTGAGGTATTTAACTCAGTGAACTGTATAGGAATTATTTTCATTAATAGCACATATTTGTAGGGGCACAAAAGTAATCGAAGAAACTTTCATAAATTTCATAAAAACTAATCATAAATTAAATTGTCATTTTTAATACTTGGTTACCAATCCTTTGCAGTCAATGACTGTCTGCAATCTCAAACCCATAGACATCACCAGATACTGAATTTCTTCCCTGGGATACTATGCCAGGCAGCTGCAGCTGTCATTATTTCCTATGTGTTCTTGGAGTGTTGTACCTTTAGTTTTGCCTCTAGTAAGTGAAATGCATGCTCAACTGGACTGAAATCAGATGGCTGACATTGATTATTTTATCTTTTTTATTTAATTAATGTCAATTCCAAAATTTTGTGATAGACAGCTAAAAAAATAAAAATTTCCCTTGTGGAGAAAAACTTGTTCTTAACAAGTGGTTAAGTGTCCTTACTTGAGCATTGACTCCGGTTAGGATATGAGGAACATTTCAGATGGTTTTGCAGCAAAGAATTTTGCTTCTCTTCTGGTAATACAGAAAAACAGCATTTATTTATTAACCAATTAACTGTTTTGTTCTCAGATGTAACTTTAAAGACCACAAAGTCATACAGATTACCTACCAATCTCATTTCACACTTTTCACATCTTCACTTTTGCTGTAATTATTATGTTTACTTTCAGATAGAAATAATTCTACTATAATATCTTCTACAATGGTTAAATCTACTAGAGAGAGAAACCACCTACCTGAGCAGGTAATGTGAGCCACCTCATCATAATTATCACAGTTGTTCTGTCCCCAGGGTGAAGATGGACAGTGCCACAGAGTGGAGTCATGTTTCCTACATTTCAGATCATCCAGCCAGTTAGGAGCTGATTCCACTCTTGCTTTGGTTTGGCTCAAACTGCCTGATCTTCCACAGTTCAGCTCCTGACAGATTAAACTAACTGTTTCTTGATCCATTTCATTTACACACACATTACCCCAGGTTCCATTGTAGAACACTTCCAGATTCCCCTCACAGCCCTCAGTGAGTCTGATCTCTTTAAACTCTGGTGGGAAAAAGATAATTACTATTATGTGTTCAGAATCAACATAGTGTTTTAGATTCAAAATGAACATGTTTTTAGTTGATCCATCAAAAACATAAGTATATAAAATGTGCCTTAATAACATTCCCTAATGTCAGTTTACAAGAGCAGTCCCTTTAGGTTCATTAAGATGTTCAGAATGTTCTTCCTCACCTGTACAGTTACTGCTTCAGAGATTCATGTTTTCTCATGACAGTAGTGATAAGTTGCATGTCTGCACACTACCTACATTAATGTCAGTCATCATGTTACCTGAGCACACAACTCCGATGTCCTCCTTGTGTCCACATTCATCCTCTCCACACAGCTGAAATCTACAGTTCCACAGGGACGTCTCGTTCCCCTCACACTCCACCTTATTCAGCCATATGGGTCCAGTTCCAGGTCCAAACCACGCTGGTACCAGAGCACTGAGGGCCACTCCACACTGCAGCTGTCTGCAGACCACCTGCGCATCCTTAATATCCCACAAGTCATCACTCACTGTACCCCATGAGCCGCTGTGGAAAACCTCCAGCCTTCCTGCACAGTCTCCCCCAGAACCAACCAGCCTGAAGGAGCTATGAGCTAAAATTACACATAAATTCAGTGCCGCAAACAAAGAAAGACATCTGACCAACATAATCATCTGAACATGTGTATACAAGGAAGAGATAAGACTAAAAACATCTGACCTTTTTGTACATGGCCTCAACATGGTTAATGTCACAAATTTGCTTAAATGCAAATTGAAACTGAAACGTTTTCTCATTCTTGTTTGATATAGTTTTTTAGCTGCTCCACAGTTCAGGGGCTCATTTGTCGTATTTTTATGGAGCAATGCTGTTGTCATACATGCAGAACGTGATTTGGCAATATCTTGCTGAAATAAGCAAGGCTTTCCCTGAAAAGGACGTCATCTAGATGGCAGCATATGTTGCCAAACCTGTATATATCGTTCAGCATTAATGGTGCCTTCACACAGGCCAAGTGCACGAATGCCCCCCTATACCATCATGAAAACTGGCTTTTGAACTGTGCACTGATAACAAGCTGTGTGGTCTTTAGCCCAGAGGACACGGTGTCCATGATTTCCAAAAAGAATTTCAAATGTTGATTTGTCAGACCACAGGACAATTTTCCACTTCCCCTCAGTCCATTTTAAATGAGCACTTACCAGAGCAGGTGATTGAGAGCTGTTCTCTGGAGCTGCAGTTGACTGCTTGTGCGCTGCTGCAGTTCCCCAGATGAGCTTCACTCCCAGAACAACTGAAACCCATCACACACATGTGTCTGTGTTCAGGACTGGATGGAGAGGAGCTGGAGAAGCTGATCACAGAGCCACAGCCCAGCTGTCTGCAGACCACAGAGGCCTCAGACTCGCTCCAGGAGTCCAGCAGAACTCTCCTCCAGTCCTGCATGAAGTACACCTCCACCTCCCCCTCACACTCCATCCCTCCAGACAACCGCACTCGCCCCTCATGAACCGCCACAGAGGAAACTAAAAGGATCAAAAAATTATTTTTGATTTTACAAATTTCATGAGATTCTTTATTTTTTTGTGACTCAACAAACTCACAACAAACTCACCACTGCAGATGACTCCAGCATCCTGTTTATGAGAGCATGCAGTTTGACTCCATGACGAAATGGGACATTTTGACAGGTGTGTTTCGTTCCCCTGACAATCAAACACATCAGCCCAGATCCGGCCACTCCCCTCCCCAAACCAGTCTGACCCCAACACAGCCACAGCACTCCCACACTTCAGCTGACCACAGAGGACACTGGCAGCTCTCATATCCCAGCTTACATCACACACTGTGCCCCACTCGCTGAGGTACTGGAGCTCCACTCGACCAGAACAGGAGTCAGAGCCGTTCACCAGCCGAGCCTCAGTGTGACCTGAAAACACAAAGAGTTTATTAAACCAGCAGGTAATTGATACAGTAAAATGTGAAGTAAGTAATTAACAGGGCTGTACATAAAATCTTTGAGCATGTCCGTATAGTGATGTAAAAGTGGCAAGCACAAACTAAATTTTTATAGCACTGACATAAAATCCATATCAAATACTTAATCTTAACAAATCTGAAACATATTGTCATTTCAGGTGTGAATAAACAGAAATATGACACCACCCAATGACCACTGGTATAGGCTCCACGACCCGGAGGGATAAGAGGTTTAGAAAATGTGTGTATATATTCAGTTTGTGAAATTTACAAAGAATTTATTTTCCGGTTGAATAATTAAAAATATCGACAAGGGGTCACTATTAGCTCTTAAGTAGCATTTTTTCTGCATCTTTGAACACAGGGACTCTCACACCAGCAGTAATACACATATAGTTAGAGCCTCAAATTTCAAAACAAGAGCAAAATAGTTTATTGCCCAAAGGAAAGACTCACTGTTATTAAAATATTGTTTTTTTTTTTTGTTTGTTTTTTTAATGTAGCCGATTCATATGAAAACTATAGATGTTATAGGTTATAGGATATAGGCTCTAGATAATATAGGACAGCAGGGGGTGTCTAAGCTGCTGATTTCAGAGAACTGTAAAATCTTAAATCATTACTGGCTTGTATATGACATTACAACCCCAAACTAAACAACGTCTGGGAAATCTGTACATTGTGCAGCCCTTTGTTCACAAATATTTCGATTTGTTCTTTACTGTCAGATTTATCTGATGGACTACAATTTCCGTAAACATTAAAACCTGCTTTACAGCTTGTGCAACTACACCAAGCAGATAACTTGGGCAGCTGGTTCAATATTACACACATCATGTAGTCACAATAGCTCACCACTAATTGACTATGAATAACTGACAACAAATTCCAAGAGCACTTGGACTTGTTGTGTGACCATGATCTTGTTTATATTTACACAGGATTAATTTCTCCTAGTACATGTAACAGTATTGTTGCATTGCACAGCCCTGATTAATATCAAATACTACATCAAATGTTATACTTAACCAGAACATATTATTCCCACATCACGGTCATGGGAGCAGTTGTGTTGGAGTGAAGATGATGTTGGACAGAAGGAAATCTGAGGTTCGTTGCCTCTACAGTGAAGCTCCTGTGACCACATCTGACCCTCCCTTCTGCCAAAAGCAGCTGCTCCCAGCACCTCCACAGGAAGCCCACAGCCCAGCTCTCGACACACAACCTCTGCATCCTGCTGGTCAAAGCCAGCGTCACACACTGTGGACCAGGTCATCAGATGAAGCACCTCCACTCTCCCAGAGCACAGATGAGGACCATCAGTAAGCCTGGACATTCTGTGACCTGTATGTAATGTAACCACATTTAAACTGCGCACAACACACAATGAATTGGAATATATACAAAAAGACAGTCACTTAGAAATATATATTTTTAACTTCAATCTACTTGATGTTCACTGGTAGTGCCCAATAGATTTGATGTTCTATGTTCCGAAAGAGTTTTTTTCCAAAGTTTGATATTATGGTGGATATCAAAATTCTATATTGACTTAATGTGCCAAACAACAAACTTTTTTCAGACAGAAGCATTCTTAGCAATAGATATAGTGTAATATCCATGAGATCATCCATGAGTTTTTGCATAAGACAAAGGTAGGCAGCGACCTTTGGCCTCCATAAGCCTGTACGTGTTGATGTTAAATAACCTGTACTGAAATATTTTTCAGAAAAAGATTATTTAATGACTATAACTGACAATTCTGTATTCATGACACATCTGTGAAAAGAGGGACTGTTGTGAACAAGGCAATTTAGAGATAATCTACATTTAGGAGAGGAGGTCCTTCATTTTCTGGGTGTTAGGGGGAAAACCAAAAAGTCTTCCAGCTACAGCAGAGAAATAACAAGATATCATTTCTGCAGTGTACACAACTGCGCCACCCAGCAGCCCAGAGCCTCAACTAATTTAAAAATATGCATCCAGTGGGCACCATTTGTGTCTTTTGCCTAAAACCCCAAAATCACTCAATCCTTCCATCTTTGCAAGAGACATCATTTTAAATCTAGTTAAGATATCTTATTTTTCATTTTGAGATTTTTAGTAACTTGCACTGGATTACTTTTTGAATAAATACCCCAACACTAGAGCTGTCTATACTAGGAAGCCCACAGTTCACATTAATGCTATCATTTTGTATGATCTGCTGAGCCTGTGTAGCACTTTCTTTTGGCTGAAAAAATAAAACGTACTGACAAACATTTTGCTTTTGCTTTCCATTTCTCTGCTGTACTTGGAAGACTTAATTTGTTTTTTTCTCTCAGTACCCAGAAAATCATGCTGAATAACTTTGTCTCAGTAATGTAGATTACTACTTAACTGCCTTATTTACACCGGTCTGTCTTTACGCAGTTGTGTTATCACATAGCCACATGGAAAAGTCCATTGTAGCCATGACTGGGATTCAGGATGCATTAGAAATATTGAAAATAATCACCACAATTACAAATAATAGTTATTTTTAAAATGTATATATGTATTTCAGTATTGCAAATACAATTTAAATGCATTATTCTCTATTTACATTTCTCTCTGTAAATTAAGCACCAGATCCCACTTGTATAAAATAGCTAATGTATTTAGTTAAATGCTTAAGGGTGTCACGCGTTTAACGAACTCTCAGGAGGAGACGGACTTCATTTCCCAGAATACTCTGGGAGATCATGTGACTGAGAGACTTCATTCCGAGTCAGAGTCAGAGATAGACTCCAATACCCACAAGTCAATCGGGGATCACGTGACTTCTGACCAAGTCTCACGCACCTGTCAGTGCTCACAGTCTCCTGAGTATTAACCTGCTTCACCTGTGCTCATGTGTCATATGATCTGTTTAGCTTAGTATTTAAGCATGGGCTGTAGGTCGAGCCAGTGTGAGGTATTGTTTCCTGGTGAACTTACTGAGCGTTTATTTCTACCTGTATGCTTCTGATTATCTGACCTTTGCTTCGTTTGTTACTTTGTCTTTTGCCTGCCCCTTTTTGTACTGTTGCCCTGTATTTTGGATCCGTGTTTTTGGAACTTGCTTGCCTGTTTTTCGACCACGTCTTTTGCCTTGTCCTTTTGGTTTTGTTTGCCTGGTGTGATGATCACCATTGTGATCATTCTCCGTTCTCTGGTTTTGACCCCTGCCTGTGTATTGACAACGAGCTTGCTTAGAGATAATAAAACCTCTTTTGCCAGTTTAATCCGCACGCGTCTGAATACTGCTGAATGGTTGCAAAGGGTCATTTAAAGCTGTACGTTCTAATTTAAATTTGTGTTGTCAGAAACTTAAGTGCTGAAACGTAGATCAAAACAATGAGCAATTATGGATATTTTGTCACTTTCCAATTTAATATTTTCCTGAAGAGATTTTGCAAAGACCACTTAAGACAAAAGAGAAAACTTAAAAATTCACATAAGATTTTATGCATGTGACCACAGTCCTGTTTTTCCACCAACAAGATCATCCATTTTTTTGGACTTGAAAGCTGAATGTAATATGCCAAACTGCCACTTCTTATTTTCTGGTCAGACTTTGCTTCATTATGAGATTAGTTAGCTATGAGATGAGTTAGCTTCTTCACCAGCTTCTCATCTTAAACTGTGCAGCAGTTACCTGCAATTGTACAGGTGCCTGAATGTGACTGCTGTATCAGGTGGAACAGAAAATTCAAACAAGAAGCTAGCAAATAGGAAGCCAACATTTATTTATTTATATTTTTCTGCAGAATAAACAATCAAAATAAATATGAAAACATTTTCCAAACTCGCTACACCCCCCTCCCCCCACAGCCCTTACAAAAGTCTTCATTCCTGAGGAATTATGAAGTCCTTAAACAGAACTAGAAGCCTTCTCCTCCTTCTCCTCCTTCTGGGGTATGCTTGGGTGGGGAACCCCCCAGGCTAGGGAGTAGTCTGCACTGACTGGGGTTGAGGAGAAGCACTGGAAGGGGAATCAGATTCAGCGGGGGTTCCCTGCGCTCCATTAGCTGCCCTGTCTGGGCTAGATGATGCACCTACAGCACTGCTGTAGGGGACTGAGATAGTTCTTCCCCATTGTGGTCTTCCTGTAGTCTGATGCAGATTCTGTACGGGGCCAGCTTGTCACATAGGTGGGAGCTGCACTCTGTACACAACTTCTCCTAACCTTCCTAGGACCCAGCATGGTCCTACCCAGTCGCTCTCCAATTTAGTGCAACTGCCCTTCTTCCTCTTCGGGCTGTAAACCCATACAAGCTCCAGGAGTGACCAAAAACCAGTTCCACAAGGGTCCGGTTTTCTCTCCTCAGTATTAGTAGGAACGGGGCTCCCCAAGTTGAATCTTGAAAAGCATGCCATGAGGACCAGGGCAAGCATTTGTCCAGTCATGCTAGTGTAAAGATGTGAGAATAGCTAGCTGCTCTGCCAGAGTGCAGCTGAACCTTTTTACCAACCCATCACTTTGGAGGTGGAGCAGGCTGGTGCAGGTCTTTCTGATACCCAGCCACTCACACCCTGGATTCAAAGTTTCAACTTTGGTCACTATGGATTGATTGAGGAACCTCAAACCTACTGAACATTCTTTCAACCAAGGCAGCAACGGCAGTTTAGGCCTCTTGGTCTGGCAGTGCAAAGGCCTCTGGCCATTTGGTGAAATAATCCATGGCAGACAACACAATATGGTTCCCCCCAGCAGTGCGTGAAATGGCCCTACTATGGCAACTACAACCTGTTGCAAGGGCTTTCCCACTGGAAACTGCTGCATCTTGGTTTGGGACTATCCTTGGGATACTTTTTCTGCAGTATACAGGTCACACCTTTTGCAAAAGTTCCCTACATCCTGCCTCAGCCATCCCCAGTAGAAAGTCTGTTGGAGGCAACAAAGTGGTTTTGTGACTCTGAAGTGACCAGACCCCACATGGCTTTTAAAACGTCCTTCTATCTTTTCTCTCCAGTCACGGGCTCAGTCCAGGCCTTCTGTAGAACACCACCCTCTAAGTACAGAGTGCCACGGTTGGTATAGTGAATTTATAAGTCTGTAGCTCCTCTTGCCAATGGCCCCCCTATCCCTCAAGCTCTTTAAGGTCTTCAGCCACTGCACAGAAGCATGATCTGAGCGTCAGGTAAAAGGCCTGCCCTGAAGTGCTCGAAGTGTCTGATAGCCAAGACAGTGGCCAATAGCTCTCATCAAGTAACACAGTACCTTCGCTCAGCTTCATTATTCTACTGAAGTAGGCCACAACTCTCTCTCCATCAGGCCACTTCTGCAAAAGCACCTTCTGCACATGCCCCCTCACCGCTGGTGTCTGTGTCCAGGATAAAGGGCAGCTTGGGGTCCAGGGGTTCCAGAATGGGTGAGCTTGTTAGAGCTTGCTTCAGGGCCTCAAAATCTGACAGTCCTTTGACCAGTTGAAGTCTTGCCCTTCTCCAAGCATCTTATACAAGCAGGCAGCGATACAAGAAAAACCCCTCACAAACTTTCTGTAATAAGAGACTAACCCTAAAAAAATCTACAGCAGAGATAAATGTGCTTCAGTGCGCCAGCATGTCATCCAAGAAGACCAGATACTCTTGTTGCAGAACCCCCTCTAGCACCCTTTCCATCAAGCATTTAAAAAGTGTTTTGGTTCTAGCCTCCGGGGACAGCAGGACCTGCCAGTACCTGTTTCTTAAATCCAAGGAGGAAAACCAGGTGGACCTGGCCACTAGATCTAAAAATTTATCCATGTGAGCAATGGGGTATGAGTCTTTCTTTGTGACCTCATTGAGCTTCCTATTGTCAACACAAAAGTAACACTCACTTCTTTTCTTAGGAACTATAGGTGATGCCCAAGGGCTCTCTGATGGCACTTTGATGCCTGCACACTGCATTTTATCCAAGGCTTGGTCTGCAGCCTCCTGCTGGCCCAGGGGGAGACACCAAAGCCGCTGCTGTATTGCCAAGGCCTCCCCAGTGACGATGTTGTGCTACACTAGGCGAGTCTGCCCCAGCTCCTCTTCCTCTAGTGCAAAGCAGTCCTGAAATTCCACTAAAATCTGCCACAACATATCTCACTACTGTTCATCCTACTCACCTGTGCTCATTTTCCAAGTTTCCCTCATGGCTGTTATTTTATTTTCCCCTCCATTAGATGGGGCCAGCGTCTCTGATTTGTGCACTGCTGGACTCACAAAGAACTCTTGTGGGTGGAAAGGTGAGCATTCTGCTGGCTGCCAAATTCCCTGAGTCATTTTTGGGGCTGAAAACAGCATTATGTGAGGACAACATGGAAGACATAAGACCCCTAATTGCCCTGCAGATAACTTTTCTCTCTGGCTAATCTGTGTATGGGGTGGATCGTCACACCCCTCCCTCCCAAATACCATGAGTCTTCAGGGGTTCTCCCCCAGAGCTTGGGAAAATGCCCCCCATTTGCTCCTGCTGCACAACGGCTTGCTGCCTTTTTTCACCGTCTTTGGGAGAGCGTGCTCTTCTTGCAACATCTTCTTGTCCCCCCTATGCCCTCGCCTTTCTCCGCTGCCTCCAAGCACACCCAGCATTTTCTGGCTCACCGCCACCACAATGCGTATCTGTACACTGCAAAACACACCATCTCACACTGTGACAGCACCAATCTCCCTCTCTAATGCATAGTCCAGAGCCTCTTGCAAATCTTATAGGCGAGCTAATTCTGTGTGAACACAAAGCTTTACTGAGGACAGCACTCCGGTCACGTTTTGAACTTGGGACGGAATGTGAGTATAAGCCCATCTGGCTAGAATCTCAATATCATTAGCTTAGGCCCTCAGTGACTCCCCTGACAGTCTACCATGGTTGCACAGTTCAGACTGCAAAAGCTCAGGCCAGTGGCACTGACCAAAACGCCTCCGGAGTGCCCCCACTAATGCATGGTAGTCAGATCTCTCAGTCAGATTAAGAAGCAGCAGTCAACCAAAGCGCCAGATGCAGGGCTTTCAGTTCATCAGGCCACTCAACAATTTGGCTATGCATTCAAACTGTGCATGGAATGCCTCCCAATCTGTTTTACCAGAGTACTTAGGGATCTTTACACTCACTGGCAGGCCTCTGATTGCAGCGCTCTCTCTGTTTGAAATCTCACTCATGCGCTGACACTGCACCAGCAGTTTTAGATGGCATGGCCTCAAGGTCTGGAGGTGTTTACAAGAAGCTTACAAGTGTCACGCTTCCAGGTCCTCCTCCCCTGCCTAATACGCTCCAGGACTCCATTTCTCAGAATCCCAATCCTCATGACATCATCCCTTCCACCAATCACAGACCGCTGCCTCGTTCTCAGTCACCTGAATACTAATTCAACACACCTATACCCATTTGCCTTAGACCTTAAAAGGTTCCTGGTTTGTTCTCCTCTTTGCGAGGTATTGACACACTACTGGTTACTGAGCGTTTATCTTCTATTTTCATGACCTGTGTACTGAACCCATTGCCTGTTTCACGATTGTTTCTCTTTTGGATTTGCCCTTATTGCTCTGGTTGCCTGTGTTTTTGTATTTTCTGGTTTTTGACTTTTGCCTGTTTTTGGATACTGTTTTTGGATTTGCCCTTTCTGCTCTGGTTGCCTATGTTTTTGTATTTTCTGGTTTTTGACTTTTGCCTGTTTTTGGATACTGTTTTTGGATTTGCCCTGACTTGGTTCTCTCATTAAACCAACTTTTGTTTTCAGATCCGCGAGCGTCTTTCTGTGCTTGTTCAGCATTATAACAAGAAAATATCCCTGCAGATTTCTTTGAAGGCAAAGGGTGGACCATTAAATATTGAACAATTTGGTGTCTGTGTAGCTTTTCTCTAAGTAGCAAATTTTTACATTAAGATTGATTGAAACATACCTGAACATATAATTTCCATATCAATATAATGAATACAGCTATGTTTGCCCCATCCCAGTGATCCACAATTTTTCAGGGTAGACTCTGATCCACTGCAGTCCACATGACTCATCCAGATCGGTCCAGATCCTGGTATGGCAAAATCCATATTTAGTGGCTCCCCACATTCTAACTGTCTACACAACACTGCAGCATTTCTTATATCCCAGTTAAAAGCACACACTGTGCCCCACTGTCCTCTATGAAGAACCTCCACTCTCCCAGCACAGCGACTGCCACCATCCACCAACCTCACACTGTCTATACAACAGAGAGAGAGAGAGAGAAAGAGAAAGAAAAGAAAAAAATGAAAGAATAAACAGACGGCAAGACTAAATTAGAAATCACCGTACAATTTGTTTGCGACACAAAACCTTTTCATTTGTTAAAATTTGATATCCACACAAACTAACCAACTATTTACATAAATAAATAAATAAATAAATAAACAAAATAACTTACCAGCACACACCAGTCCCACATCACTATCACTGGAGCAGTTGTGTTTGAGTGAAGATGATGTTGGACAGAAGTAAGTCTGAGATTCGTTGCCTCTACAATGAAGCTCTTCTGACCACACCTGACCCTTCCCTCTGCCAAAAGCAGCTGCTCCCAGCACCTCCACAGGAAGCCCACAGCCCAGCTCTCGACACACAACCTCTGCATCCTGCTGGTCAAAGTCAGCGTCACACACTGTGGACCAGGTCTCTCCATGAAGCACCTCCACTCTCCCAGAGCAGCGAGAACCACCAACCAGCCTGACTTCTAATATCACGAGAAAAAAAAAAAAGATCATTTAAAGATGTCTGATGGTTCACAGATTTTAATTTGACAATTCTACTTTTTATAGGAGGACATCATTGCTGTACTAAAATATTTGATGAGTAAGTAAGCTTTGAACTAATAACTAAGCTGTCCATAAACTGTAATCAATTACTAATTTGTAAGTGCAAAATCAGCTATTTATTAATTATTAACATTAAGTGCTCTTTATTAGTCCCACAACTGGGAAATTTCACCTCTGCATTTTACCCATCCATGCAGTGAAACACCACATACACACTAGTGGGCAGTGAGCACACTTGCCCGGAGCAGTGGGCAGCCCTCCCCACAGTGCCTGGGGAGCAGTTGGGGGTTAGGTGCCTTGCTCAAGGGCACTTCAGTCACGTGCTGTCGGCTCAGAGGATCAAAACAGCGAACTTCCAGACACAAGGCTGGTTCCCTAACCTCCAGCCCATGACTGCCCCCATTTACAAGTACATAATCAGTTACTAACGTATGCTTAATGAATACCTAATTACTTGACTTCATTAAAGTACTTAATTGCTTATTTAATTGCAACCCTTAATGTGAAGTGTTAATATTTGGGATTAAGCCAAAGTATTCAACAGAAAAGACTGCATATTATTTTATTAAAAACATTAAAGGTTCATTAAACAAAGGTAAAGTAATGGGAACCATATTTTTTAATCTCAAGAAAGTGCTTAATAATGTAAATCATGAAATACTTATAAATAAACTTAAGAAGCTTAACTTCTCTCAACAGGCCATAGGTTGGTTTAGATTATATATGTAATATATGAAGCAATGTGTTAAAATAAACTGTATAAAGTAATCACACAGTTTTCGAAGTTTTAGTGTGGACGTTCTACAAGGCCCAATTTTGGATCCTGTTTTTTTCCCTTGTACATAAATGACTTACCTAAAGAAGTAAAGGGACAAAGTTTCAAATACATGCACACAACATAGTCATTTATGCATCTGCAAAGACTCCAAGAAGGCAGCAGAATTATACATAAACAAATGATCAGTGTTTCCTGGTAGCTTAAGAGTAAATAACTGAATTTAAACCATAACAGAGTTATGAAAACAGTTTTAATGTGTTTCACAATAAGGCAAAAAAAAGAACAAGAAGGATTTGTAATATGTGACACTGATGTGGTAGGGGTGTGTGTTGCAATGGCATGAGCGGATCAGACAGTCCAGCTGCTGGAGTTTTTAAACACCTCAGGTTCAGGGCTGGACTGAGAATAGTCCACCTACCAAAATATCCAGCCAACAGGACTAGAGCATGACCAACACTAACTGTGCATAACAGATGGGTTACTGTCTCTGACTTTACATCTACAAAGTGGACGAACAAGGTAGCTGTGTCTAATATAGTGGACAGTAAGTGGACATGGTTTAAAAACTCCAGCAGTACTGCTGTGCGTGATCCACATGTACCAGCACAACTCACACTAACGTTCCACCACCACACTAACATGCCACCACCACCTGCTCTGTGGTGGTCCTGTGGGGGTCCTGACCATTGAAGAACAGGTTAAAGGGGGGTTAACAAAGAATATAAAGAAACAGATGGACTATAGACTATAACTGTAGAACTACAAAGTGCACCTATATGGGAGGTAGAGATGATGAAAAGGACAATGAGTGTAGAAACAAAGACGTGGTTTTAATGTTATAGCTGCCAAAAAAGGGGTGTTAGAAAAAGCAGAAATTTTGAAAAAGCACAATAATGTATGTATTATGTATTATGGGAATTACAATAATTGATGTAGATCATGGACCCAATACTGATGACACTGCGTGCAAAGCTTTCCACTTACCAATCACTGCCAATCATTTTCAATTTTTCAGACTATTAGTGTATTCTTTTTGTTTCTTTTTTTGTTGTGTGGAGGGTGGGGAAATAAGGAATAAAATGTATGCCAAGATGATATGTATGGCTGCTACAGTTTCTATTTTGAGTCAATAGAGTCTACAGACTTGATCAAATGCACCAACCAAAAAATTATGGTGGTGTCTGCCCCAAATATATCTTGCAAGTTTTTAATTCATTAATAATCTTTAATTTAATTTTTTTATCAACCTACACAATACAAAACGATGCTAGTGTATCATTCAAAGGTATTAAATTTATTAGCAATTTCCATTCAGTACTTTCAGCATTGGTTGCTCCAGTTTTCTATAATGTGGTAATAGATTTTTGTTTAGATAGATTATGATTAGTGTATCCTGCCTTCCGCCCAATGACAGCTGGGATAGGCTCCAGCACCCCACCGCGACCCAGTAGGATAAGCGGTTTAGATGATGTATGTATGTATGTATGTATGTATGTATGATTAGTAAGCCTATTAATATGCTTCCAAAGAACTGAACTATTCGCTACTGTTCAGTTGCATAAAATAAGCCGTTTTTGCTTCTCACAACTTTTTGCTTTCTGAGCCCTTTAAATCTGAGAATGTCTAAATGTGCTTTTGAGATTAAAGTTTTTTCAGAGCAATGTCCCTTTTTTTATGAATTGACAAATATCTTTATAAGAAAGTTTTATAAGCATTTCTATCATATAACATATTAGAATATTTACTCAAATAACTGGTTTGTAAAACACTGTTCCAATTAATGTTCCATAGTATGATCAAACAGACCCCTTAATAAATTATACATTTTAATCTCTTCTGCGTTAGTTGTGTGTATCAAATCTCAAATATTCTGGTGATTCTTGTTGGGCCTTTTACTATTTGATCCCACCTGCATCTCTCAAGGTGGAAGGCATGCCACACACTGCTAAATAGAAGCAAAAAAGTACAACAAGATGTGGAAAACATGGCACGTACAGACAAATGCTTTTTTATTGAACAGGTACTTCAAAAGTGAGTCTTTACGAAGGCCAGAAATGCCCTGCCCAGTGCCACCTCAACACGAAACACAAGGAGAGGTTAACACGGAAGGACACAACATACGAGCAGGGTAGACATGTCTAACACACTTGCAAACCCACCCTCTTCAGACACTATTAAACTAATTAACACAACTACTCCAATAACAGCACAATATCAGCAACAAGGTTTTTACAGAAAAGTGTATAAAAGTAGTATATAGCATGCCCAGGGCCAGCTCTAGCCTTTTGGGAGCCCTAACAGGATTTTTGTCCCCCCTCATCTTGCTAGCTGATGTACTGTAAAATTAGAAGCTAACTAATGACAATAAATTCCACAAGTTGTCTAAATAATGTTCATCTATAACTGGCTAATTTGTGTCTTACTGATGATTGGATGCTTATCTCAGGTTCTAATAAGTTACAATTTAAATTATAGATAACCATTTCAGAATTCTTGATCCAGGGGTCTGTCTCATGATGCAGTATTTCTTGCACACACAGCTAACTTTAGGCTTAGTTTGATCTAACCCTGGGGGCAGTGCTGACAGATTTTACTTTCTACATATTTAGATGATTTATTATAATCTTATATATATATAACTGTCAATTCTTTAACATGGATGGCTGAAATTTTATATATGGCTTTGAAAATGGGCATCCTTTACTCTTCAACTCAAAGTACATTCAAAGGAACTATCTCACTACTAAACAACTGAAACCTTGGCTGAAGTAATGGCAGATGGTTGCCATCCAGTGATCCAGTAATGTTTGCTATCCAGTGAGGAGAAAAAGGGGCAGGGAAAGACTAGGGAAGACATGCACATCATCCTCCAGACCATTGTAAATTCATAAATCCATATGAAATAAGTTTTGATTGTGCCTTTAGTAAAGTTCCCAATGCAAGTCAAAACAGCTGTTCAGATTTTCTCTTAATAGCCTGTTGGGGTCCCCTAGTGGCTTGGGCCCCTGGTCACGCCTCTGTTCTGTAGTATGAAACAGTACATGATGGTAATTATGGAATAACAGATACTCTACTGCATACTGATGGTCATTTTGTTTACCATCATTTCCACAGTGTTACTAGACCTTTCACCACTGTGTGAAGGGGAATACTGTACTATTCCCCTTCACACTCAATATTCTCATTATTAACAAGAAAAAAGCTTAAATTTTGCTCCTACACCTGTGGTGTTACCACTATGCCCATTTCCATGCAGTTCTCTTCTACAGAAATTGTAAACACAAAGAAAGCCAGAGCACAGCAACAACAAAAGTGGCAGAGACAACACAGCAGTCAACAGCAGTGACTGTGGTTACTGGTTGCTCTGGCCTATTTGGTACCATAAGCAAATTTGTATTTGCTGTCCCCAAACAAAAATGTCTGTGGAAACCATGTTAACATTCATCAAACAAGTAAAACCTTTTTGCCACTGCATGTTATGAGATGCATGAAGCAAGGGCTTGGCGTGACAGAGACTGTCCTTTCAAAAGAGCTAATGCTAAAGCTAACCAATGAGCTAGCTGTGGAGCTAGGCAGTGCAATGTTACAGGCTGAGGAGCTAAGGAGTCCTTGGCTCAAGATGTTTTAGCACACTAGATGTTTAAGCAAAACCTCAATCATAGTGCATTAATAATTATCCTGGCTAACTGCCAGCAGCTAAGATGAAAAGCCAACTTAGTTAGCTAACTGATCTTTACAGTGATCTATACAGTAATGCTCTTTATGCTAAAACATCCTAAAAAAAATTAACACTTGCAAATACAGAAATCAAGATGAAGTTACCTTAGAGCTCCTTGTCAATAACCTTGACATTTTTATAAAAAAACACCACCTTTCAGATGATCTGGGTGCTTCTGAATGAAACTTTCTATAGTAACACCTTTTCATCTTCACTTGACAGAGAAAGTAGTGCCTAGAGAACTGGTAATTAGTCATTTGTTGGGAGTTGTTTGAATCATTATTTTTACAGTTCTGTTTGCTGCAACTAATAAGCAGCATACTTTAAAGGAGTAGCAGGCTATTGAACATGCTGTGCAGTTACAGGTGTGCTCCTGCCAAGACGCCCTAGCCAACTGTCTATATTGCATATTACAGGAACTGCTAATCTGTGGTGGCAGTCAAAGAACTACTTTCCCCAGCTGTGCAAAGGAGGGCCTATGACACCTGCTACTAGAGGGTACTGGGTGTGAGTTGGGGCAGGTCAATGAACAGTAATGGTTCACTTGCACCGTTAAGCCTCTTATTGGCCCCAAGAGCTGACCATCAGCCCACCACCTGCTGTGCTGCCTGGCAGCAGTAACGCTGAGTTTCCATTAAGGAACAAAACATACAGGACAAGCCTACAAAAGAGTGACACTCTCACATCACATGTGTTACAGATTGTTTCGGGCTGGTGAACCCTTGGGGCAGTGTACCTCTGCTTCTTCCTGCAGCCACTTGTTTTTGGAATATTTAGCTGGGATGCTCTCACTGTCAAATCTGCTTGGTAATGTATGTACATTAGAACTCTTTCACCAGCTACATCTTCTGAATTATTGTAATTGCCTCAAAATGTATGTAATTTCTGTGATCACTGCAAAAAATCCTGAAAAACTTTTCCATACCAAAATATACAGAAAAAACTCAAGTGCATTAAATGTAAAAACAATTCATAACTAATGTAACAAAGTGTGAGAGGAGTAAAAATGAGAATGTGATCATTTAAAATCTTTCTGAAGCTGAAAATAGTTTACCTGAACAGATGACTCCAGCATCTTTGGAATGATCACAATTACTCGATTTTAATGACAAACATCTCTTCAGTGTAGATTCTGATCCACTACAGTCCACATAGTCCATCCAGATTGGTCCTGATCCTGATCCAAAGTGAGCATCACTCAGTGCATCTACAGCCTCTCCACAGCGCAGCTCTCTACACACCACTGCAGCATCTCTCATATCCCAGCCATCACCACACACTGTTCTCCACTGTCCTCTAAGAAGAACCTCCACTCTCCCAGCACAGTGACTGCTACCATTCACCAACCTCACACTGTCTGTATAACAGAGAGAAGGACATAAAGAGAGATAGTATCACACAGAAAATGGAAAAAAAAACATCTTCAGTGCTCTGATGTCACCTTTAAATTGTGCAAAGAAAAACTACTTGTAGGAAAGAGGAGTGAGTGTGATCAAGGTGTGACAAAGCGTCATTGAATAATCTAGCTCGAAAAAAAAACCCAAAACCCATTAGTTAACCCCAAGACCTTCATGACCCTCATGACCCTAAATCCACTTACTGTCCTTATGTTATATCCCTGTTGTGATACTCCACAAATGTCACATACTATGTAGTAAAGGTATTCATTCTTTTGGTCCTGTGCTCTCTCTTGATATCTCTGTGGCATGTGTAATGACTAATCAGAGTTCTATGATACCTCAAAGCATTCAGAAAAAACAATAGGGTACTCTATTTACAGCTTATTTTACTTGACCAGAGTGGAAACCACTGATGAGGGAGGGAGAGACTGAGAGGACATGTACAGCATATGCTCTCAGCATTTGGGGGCTTGTTATGGTTAGGGGGGGTCAGGTTTAAGAACTTTGATGAATTTCTGCTCAATGTAGTGTCCGTAATTCAGATGATATTAAATCATTCTAAACAATACTATATAAATCAGATGACATTAAATCATATAATAAATCAATAAATCAGATGATCAGATGATCAATTAAAATTGATTTCAAGTATAATGAAAAGCTGATAGCTGAGTAATAAGAATGATCATGCTTAGTACTTATCCTTCCCTGAGCAAAATATTTAATGGCCGGCTTTGCTGGTTATCAAAGTTTTAGCACTCTCTATGGATCCAACATGACAGAAAATGATAAAAATTATGGTCTCCTTATGATATACATTTTACCTTAATAATAAACATCAGAACAAGTAACCATCAAAATTATTGTAATTTTAGCTCACAAACACTCTAGTCAACAATTTTTGAAAAGGTATTTTTTCAAAAATTGTTTTCTGTATAAGCAATAATAATAATAATAATAATAATAATAATAATAATAATAATCTGTAATTGTAATCAACAAAAATACAAAAAAAGCAAAATTAGCCGGGGTTGGTAAGAATTAACTGTGAATGCAGCTCTTACCAGCACACACTAGTCCTACGTCATTATGATGTGAGCAGTTGTGTTTGAGTGAAGATGATGTTGGGCAGAAGTGAATCTGAGATTCGTTGCCTCTACAGTGAAGCTCCTCTGACCACACCTGACCCTCCCCTCTGCCAAAAGCAGCTGCTCCCAGCACCTCCACAGGAAGCCCACAGCCCAGCTCTCGACACACAACCTCTGCATCCTGCTGGTCAAAGTCAGCATCACACACTGTGGACCAGGTCTCTCCATGAAGAACCTCCACTCTCCCAGAGCAGTGAGAACCACCAACCAGCCTGACTCCTAAAAGTGAACATTAAACAGTGATGATTAACAATAACAATGATTATAATATTAGTGTTACAATAAAACTATTTGATGGATGGAATGTCTTGGGTAAAATACACAAGAGAGATAATAAATTGAAGGAAAACTCCAAATAAATGAATGGAGAGACATAAAGAGTGCTAATGCTTCCAGACCCTGGTAGGTGTAGTGTATTATATAATTATGATATGTACTTTATTGATTCAACAAGGAAAACTTGACATTTTACTACTTAAGTATGCCCAGCTTGGGAGCAGCACAGCATTGTCTGGGACAGTGAGAGGTTAATTGGTTAATTTAATCGAGGGTTCATTATTGGGGCACAGATGCAAGAGTTTCAGTCATAAAGTCTGACTGATTGATGTTTCAGTAGGATCTGTGACTAAAGTGATATCTACATTTAGATCTATGAGAATGTCATTAGTTAATTGTATTGGAAATTGTGGTCACATTGACTGTGATTACTCAAGTTTTATTTCAATATGTAAGGAACAACAGAAGTCCAATAGTTCCTCAGGTGACTGAGAATGTCAGTGCAGGACATGACCTGCAGATTGTGCCAGCAAGAACAGTTCAACCACAAAAACAAAAACAGGGATATTATAATAGAGTTTAAATGCATAAACCCCTCATTACAGAGATGAAGGCACATTTGTTCAGTGGTGAAAGAATTATAGCACATAGTTTACAGAGATGTGGAAAAAATTAATACGGCCAGAGGAGCCAACCTTCACCATATTCTCCTTAAGTGGGTGAGTACATATGTGCTGTAAAATGAATGGTACTGGCCTGAATGCTTGACCCCCACAGTGAAGGGATCTAGTGTCTATGTTATGCTGTGTGGTACATTTTGCTGACGTGCTTTGAGTCCACTTGTTTCTTAGAGGGAAGAGTCACTGAAAATCAATACGCAGTGTGGCCAATGGCAGCCTCACCATATCCGCCGGACCTATGTTCACATTTTCCCAGGAAACTGAGCCAAGCCCCAGTGACTTGCCCCTGAAACTGATCTTCCAAATGGAGAGATGGCCCTCAATCTCATGAAGGCATCTAAACTCAAAAAAGACATTTTTTCCTTCACGTAATTTTAACAGAATGTTGAATAAATCCGACCCAGAGCTGTCCACAGTTTCTCTCTACTCTGAGCACCCCACAGAAGTTACTCTGCCTAATCACCTTTATATTTTTTTATGTAAATGATCTCTTCCAAGATGACAATTCCAAGATAAAAATTTTCCCATCCACAGAGCATAAGGCGTTACTGAATGGCTTGATGAATATGGAAAAAACTTACTAAGACATTTTATGTTGGTGTTTTCTTTACATTGTCACCCATCTGTATGTGTATTTGAAAATGTTGAAGGACAAAAGGGAATAAATCAATGTTGTTCAGAAAAAGTAGACTGACTAATTTTGCATTAAGGTTTAGAATAGCTTACCTGAGCAGATAACTCCAGCATCTTTAGACTGATTACAGGCATGTTTACCCCATAATGTTGACTGGCATTTCTTCAGTGTAGATTCTGATCCACTACAGTCCACGTCAACCATCCAAACTGTTCCTGATCCTGGTCCAAAGTGGGCATCACTCAGTGCATCTACAGCCTCTCCACAGCGCAGCTCTCTACACACCACTGCAGCATCTCTCATATCCCAGCCATCATCACACACTGTTCCCCACTGTCCTCTGTGAAGAACCTCCACTCTCCCAGCACAGCGACTGCCACCATCCACCAACCTCACACTGTCTGTACAACAGATAGAAAGACATAAAGGGAGGGAGGGAGGGAGGGAGAGAGAGAGAGAGAGAGAGAGAGAGAGAGAGAGAGAGAGAGAACCTACTACTACAAATAACTGACTAAATAAATAAATAAAATCACTTACCGGCACACACCAGTCCTACATCACTGTCATGGGAGCAGTTGTGTTTGAGTGAAGATGATGTTGGACAGAAGTGAATCTGAGACTCGTTGCCTCTACACTGAAGCTCCTCTGACCACACCTGACCCTCCCCTCTGCCAAAAGCAGCTGCTCCCAGCACCTCCACAGGAAGCCCACAGCCCAGCTCTCGACACACAACCTTTGCATCCGGCTGGTCAAAGTCAGCATCACACACTGTGGACCAGGTCTCTCCACGAAGAACCTCCACTCTCCCAGAGCAGTGAGAACCACCAACCAGCCTGACTCCTAAAAGTGAACATTTATGTATCTATATCTTTTGTTCTAATCTTTACATTTTTCAAATTTTTATTAAATTTTATTTTTTATTTTTTGCTTTGCAAGCACTGAGGTTTTCTTCAGGAAATACATATCCAGTTTTAATTAAAATGTACTAGAGATTTTATATCACCACAACAGTATACCAAAGCTTGTACACAAAGTATAAAATTTGTTTGCAAAATATATATATGCATTTACACAACCCTGTTTCCAAAAAAGTTGGGACACTGTGCAAAATGTAAAGAAAAATAGAGCGTAATGATATGCAAATCATTTAAACCCTGTGTTTAATTGAAAGCAGTACAAAGACAACATATCAAATGTTAAAATTGAGAAATTTTATTGTTTTTTGAAAAATATATATCCATTTTGAATTTGATCCCAACGACACATTTCAAAAAAGTTGGGACGGGGGCAATAAAAGACTGGTAAACTTGTGTAATGCTGAAAAAACACCTGATGATTAATTGCCAACAGGTCAGTAACATGATTGGGTATAAAAGATTACTCATTCAAGAATAACTTTTCTCATGTAAAACAGCAATAAACTCATATTTACAGTACATAATATCATAAAAAGATTCATAGAATCCAGAGAAATCTGTGTAAGCAAGGGACAAACCATAAAACCACTACTGGCTGGCTGTGATCTTTGGGCCATCAGATGGCATTGCATTAAAAACAGATGTGATTCTGCAGTGGAAAACTGCATCTACAAATGCAAGTTAAAACTTTAACATGCAAAGAACAAATCATATATAAAGAGATTCCAGAAATGCCACTGCCTTTTCTGGACCCAAACTCATTTCATATGGACTAATGCGAAGTGGAAAAGTGTTCTGTGGTCGAACGAATGAAAATTTGGAATACTTTTTGGAAATTATGGGCGTGATGTCCCCCCGGGCTTGACCACCTGGCACATTGTCAGCACATACTTCAAAAGCCAGCATCCATGATGGTATCAGGGTGCATTAATGCACATGGCATGGGTGACTTGCAAATCTGAGAAGGCACTTTTAATGCTGAACTCTGTATACAGGTTTTGGAGTAACATATTGCTGTTGTCAGAACAAAACCTTGTATCTCCATTTTTGACATATTTCAGTTTTTGACATAATTTAAAAAATATTTGTTGTCTTTTACATTGTCTTAATTTCATGACGAATGGACCAAAAGAAATGGCCCAAAATGACTTTGATTCCATTGTCTTACATTAAAAGTAAAGTAAGTTTTTTTCCATCTCCTGTAAAGTTCTCATTTTGGAAATATGGAGTTTTGTTGTGACAACAGCGATATGCTGCAGTCCAAATGACATCTTTTCAGGGAAGGCCTTACTTATTTCAGCAAAACAATGTCAAATCATATTTTACATGTATTACAGCTGCATGGCTCTATAGTAAAAGAGTCCAGGTGCTAAACTGGCCTGCCAGCCGTCCAGACCTGTCACTCACTGAAAATATTTGGCACATTATGAAAATACTATAAAGGAGACCCTAAACTGTTGAGCAGATAAAAATCCTGTATCAAGAAAAAATGGAAATGTTTTAACTTTTAAAACTACAGCAACTGGTCTTCTCTGTTCCCAAATGCTTACAGAGTGTTGGTAAAAGGAGAGGTGATGCCACACAGTGGTAAATATGCTCCTGTCCTAACTTTTTTGAAACATGTTGCTGGCATCAAATTCAAAATGGGCATATATTTTTCAAAAAACAATAAAATATCTCAGTTGTAACGTTTGATATGTCTTTGTACTTTTTTTAATACTTTTACTTGCATTTTACACAGTGTTTCAACTTCTTTGGTGGATATATATAAAATCTTTGAGATTATATTGAAATATAGCAGCACACCTGAACAGATGACTCCAACATCCTTACTATGATCACAGTCATGTTTACCCCATCCTCTTGATCTACAGTTCTTCAGTGTAGACTCTGATCCACTACAGTCCACATCATCCATCCAGATTGGTCCTGATCCTGATCCAAAGTGAGCATCACTCAGTGCATCTACAGCCTCTCCACAGCGCAGCTCTCTACACACCACTGCAGCATCTCTCATATCCCAGCCATCATCACACACTGTTCCCCACTGTCCTCTATGAAGAACCTCCACTCTCCCAGCACAGCGACTGCTACCATCTACCAAATGTACACCATCTGTACAAAAAATGGAGAGAGAAGCAAAGAAATGACTTTGCTGTCCATGCTATGTCATAATGTGTAAATGTTGCAGTTACTTCATCTGTCTGATTCATAAAATCAAGTCAAATAAAAGAACAATACATACACCATATTCTATATTTTTTGCAGAAATGGTAGGACATCCATATTGAGCTTTTACTTATTTTGGGGCATCTTGCCCTTGTCTGGAGTGTGCTGTGGACTAGCTGACCAAGGAGCTGTTCTGCTGACTAGGCATTTATTGTGCCTCACTTGCGTTTACTTGTTCTGTTTTGGTAAATAAAGTTTTGCATGGCTTTAAAGACTCTGGGTCCTACCCTCGAATTCAACCCACACTGCAGTGCATCTTAAAATGTAGGGCATTTGTAATGTATTGTAGTGTCCCGCTACTGGCTTGTTCATCCACGGATAGGTGGGAGGGGAGCGTGAAGCACCATGGGTACTGCCGTGGCAGTGGTGAAAGAGACTTAAACATGTAAATAGATGTTGGTGTGGACTTGGGAATGTGTACATGTGTTGTTTGTGATGTTCTGTGCCAGGCTGTGAGGCTGGTTGGGTAGGTCTAGTGGTCACCATGGCCTGGACACATGTGGCTTGAAAGTGACCTACCCTGCTTCAGGGCTGTTCAGTGGCACCAAGCAGCAAGTTTCTTCTGCTGTTATGTAAATAAAAGAGCACTCATTTGAAGCACCATGTTTCCCATGACTTCTTCTTCTATGCCATAATACGATAATGTTTTGGGTATGTTAATACTTACATATTAGATACAGAACTTCTTAAAATTTAGTTTAAAAACATTACTCATATTTATGAGGAGGGGAAGTGACATGTATATACACTTTTGTCAGGTTTTTTGAATAAACGTGTTTTTGGTGCAATGTTCCAGAGATAACTTCCTTGGCTTCAGATCTTGGGACTCGAAGTACAACCAAAAGACACAGCACAGACAAAGAGGACAAAGCACTCCTGGTTAATGAGGGGGACAATATTTGAGACACTGAGCCTGAAACTAAGGTGCTGAATGTCAACAGCTCATTTAAATTCAGAGCTGTTTTTTTGGACAGTAAGGACAACGTAGCTTTGAGGCAGAGACAAGTCCATGCAAACAAATGGCAGCTTCTGATTATAGGCACCTGACATGACTTATGCCACTGCCCTCAGCCTATATAAAAATGCAGACCTGGGAACAAAATGAGTAGAAAAACTCTAAGCTATTGCCTCACTAACTCTATCTTTCTCTGTCTCTTTTCTCTACCTCCCTGCTCTGTAGACAACTGAACCAACACTGAAGTGGAGATATGGCAGACCATTTTTTCACACTTTGGCTACTTTTATAGTAAAATCTGGCCAATGAAGACCTCTTCAGTGACCTCCACCCCATCATGGCAGCAAATCTTGAGTGAATCTTGAGTGAACGTTTCATCCTAGAAAGAGAAAGAGCCACACCCAAAATTGAGCTTGGGACAGAGGAGGGAACTCTGAGAATACTGGGAAGGAGTTCTGGGTAGCTTGCTGAGATTGAGAAAGCTTGATACCCCTGTCCCTCAGCAAGAGAAAGTAGTCATGGAAGAATGGAAAGAGGAAGGGTGGTGGAAACTGAAGGGGGAGGGGAGAATTTATAGAGCGTGGAATATAGAGGGGGAGGAGTTTTGGGCATGGTCCTCCTGCCAAACATTTATTTCATAACTCCATTTTGTGGGTGTAGACGACAACCAAAACTGAGCTTGGGACAGAGAGGGATACACTGAGAAGCTTGGACAGGAGTTCTGTGTAGCTCGCTGACATCAAGGAAGCCAGACCTCCAAAGAACTCCAAGTCAAACTGAGGCCAGCATGAACATGTTGACCTGGGTGGACAAAACTGATACAGTCAGCTGTCCTCATATTTTGGCAGCGAGAGTGGGCCTGGCCTCAGACTTGAAGTAACTTGAAGCAACCAACTGAATTGAAATTGTTACAAGTCATTTGGTCACAGAGAAAATGCAAGAAATTAACTGCTGCATCATTTAAGGTGGCGAATAAGAATCCAGCTTCAGTCTCATCAAAAACTATGTGCATGCAGTGATCATTTTTCACTTGACGATTACAAGGAAGCTACTGTCATGCCAGACCCAGCTAACATGCTTGACCAACGTTGCTTTATGCAGTTTGGCTGTATAAATAAATAAATATCTTTTTTACCGTCTTCAATGTTGATGTGTTAAGCGCTGGCATCAGTAGCTCCCACTCCCTACAGCAGAGACACTTGCTCTCAGTTAGCATCACCTGGCACTTTCCACAAGTTAACTTATTTCCTGTTGGATGAGGAGCCACAGGTGTGTCCGCTGAGTCACTG